TCCTTCCGTGCGACCTTTACCTTGAATTATGTCCATCATCTACCTTTCCATCAATGAGGACTCTACTATATCCGAAAAGAATTATGGGCCTATTATAAACGCTATGTATATTAGCGGTAACTGATGAAAGTCAGGAATATATATACATTTTTGTCTTTTTGAAGTATTAAACCTGTTATAATATAAATTAATTGTTGAAAGTATAATGTATTATAATGTTGAAATTCACACATTCATGAAGTATATATATATATATATATATATATAATATATATATATATATATAATATATATATATATATATATATATATATATATATATATATATATATATATATATATATATATATATATATATATATATATATATATATATATATATATATATATATATATATATATATATATATATATATATTATTGTGAATTTATTAATTAGTAAAATAATGTTACAGAAAATATGAGAAACGTTGAATATATAAGGTCAGTAAATCGTGCTTATATAGGATGTATTATTGTACTACAAATGCATGAATTTTGTCTTAAACTCTCACGTATTTTCACGTTCATATGCAATTGTGTCTGTAATACTCAGTGTAAGAATTCGGGAGTGTAAGACCTTTCTCCCTTTAGCTTACAGTGTTTTGATATATACTAGGATATATAATATATATATATATATATATATATATATATATATATATATATATATATATATATATATATATGTATATCTATATATGTATGTGTGTATGTAAATGTATGTATATTGAAGTATATGTGTACTTATATATATATAATTAGATATACTCGTTTATATGACACAACACACACTTATATATAAATATACACATATATATATATATATATAATATATATATATATATATATATATATATATATATATATATTATATATATATATATATATATATTATATATATATATATATATACCATATACATACATGCATGTGTAAGTAATGCATATAAACACCCTATACTCACATATGTACATATATGATATATGTGCATGTGTCTCCTCATGCATATCTATTATCCTATGTATATATATGTCGTATATATGTATGTGTGTGCGCTTACGTGCATGAATATACATATGAAATACATGCAGAGGGTGCACTTGTATAAATAGGTGTATGTACATTTGCCCAAAGATAACTATATCAAGACACAAAAGTGAGGAGTGCGTGTCTGTTTATGCGTTCATCTGTTCGCTTAAATCCAGAAAATGAAGAGAATATGGATGCAACGCGTCTGCTCAAAACGCTATTTGAGAGATAAAATGTCGGTTTAGTTCCTTTAGTAAGTTGTCATGGATATTCTCCAGGATTTTTTTTATCTACGTGTTATGATTTAGACATGATAAGGTGACCCGAAGGCGGACTTATTAACTCCTTCAAGGCGAAGGTCACGGTATCAGGACCGCGAGAAGGGAAGGTATGTCTTGTATGTATAGTTTGTATGGATGTATGTACGTACGGGCGCCGTAACTTAGTGGGACCGCTGATCCGTTTTGCAATTCTAAACATAGTTGAGCATTATTCAGTTGTTTGCTATATACACATAGTATATACACATTCATACATACACACAAATATGTATAAGACATGCATATACATTCACACATATATACATATAAACACACTCATGTATATATATTTATGTATGTACATATGTAATATATAAACATAGGTATCGGGAGAGACCCAGTATATAAAAATTCCTAAGGAACACGCACATATACATATGTACATATATATGAAAAGCATATGACCTTTCCTCTTGAACGCTGTTCGCTGCAACAACTTAATGCAATTCCCTGGCACTGCTTCTACTTCGAGCAACTCTGTGTTCAAAATCATATGCGGTGGCAGTGGTTAATTCATGTCTGTCAGCGTCTTTGTTTCTAATCCTATTAACCGTATCGATTATATCAACAGACAGTCCGAGTTCCGTGTACACTTATTGTCTTGTTTTAATAGGAAGAAAGAACAGTGTTGCTAGAATTTCAGTTTAATAAATATATATCAAAATATTTTCATCGAAGTTCATTTAGGCGTAGGCTGGGGTGGGTTCGTACGTAGGGGCAGGCTTGTAGGCAGGTGCGGGATGGTAAGGAGCTGGCTTGTAAGCTCAGGATGGTAAGGAGCTGGCTTGTAGGCAGGTTCAGGATGGTAAGGAGCTGGCTTGTACTCGGGGTACTGGGCCTCACCCTCGTAGCTGACCTCAGCCACGTAGCCGGAGTCGCCGTTGACAGTGTAGGCGACCTTCTGCAGACGACCGTCGGGAAGGAGGACGTAGTAGGATCCCTGGGTGTCATAGCCATCACGGGCCTCCTGGTGACCGAAGTCGTTGCCGGAGTAGTCGTCCTTCACGGCATAGTTGAAGTCGTACTTGGCAGGGACCTGGAAAGGATACAAAAAATTAGAAACACACAATGCCAGGTTTCCTGTAAAAAGATATTAGTACTTTACGAATTCAGTCATACTCTTACTATTGTCAATTCTGAAAAAGAAAATAAGAAATACAAACCTCATAGGCAGGCTCAGGGGCATAGCCATAGGCTGGCTGAGAAGGAGCAGAGGCAGCAACGGCCACGAGGGCGAGGGCAACGACAGCCTAGAAGAGAAGAAATATATCAGATTAGTTATTTTCTTTCTATGCACATTAACACAGCACAAGACACATTAACATGGAAGTAAACACCACTGTCTCAATAAGCAAGACTGATAAGACTTGTTACCTTAGTGAACATGATGGAGGAAGAAGAGTGATGCTCCGGCCATCGAGCGAGTCCCTTTTATACCGAAGTCCACGAGTCCAGTGGACACGCCCCTTTCCTTCCTTCCTTCCGTGCGACCTTAACCTTGAATTATGTCCATCATCTTCCTTTCCATCAATGAGTGCTCTACTATATCCGAAAAAATTAGGGTCTATAATAGACTCTATGTATATATTAGGTAACTGATAAAAGTCAGGAATATATATATATACATTTTGTCTTTTTTTAAAGTATTTAAACCTGATAAATTAATTGTTGAAAGTATAATGTTTTATGATGTTGAAATTCACACATCACGAAGTATATATATATATATATATATATATATATATAATATATATATATATATATATATATAATATATATATATTATATATATATATATATATATTATATATATATATATATATATATATATATATATATATATATATATATATATATATATCCACACACACACACACACACACACACACACACACACACACACATATATCTGTGTGTGTGTGTGTGTGTGTGTGTGTTGTGTGTGTGTGTGTGTGTGTATGTGTGGTGTGTGTGCGTGCATATGTAAGTAATGCATATGAACGCCCAAACTCACACATATATATGTGTGCGCGTGCGTGTATGAATATACATATGAAATACATACAGAGGGTGCACTTGTATGAATAGGTGTATGTACATTTGCCCAAAGACAACTATATCAAGACACAGACAAGAAGTGAGGAGTGCGTGTCTGTTTATGCGTTCATCTGTTCACTTAAATCCAGAGAAGGGATAGAATATGGATGCAACGCGTCTGCTCAAAACGCTATTTGAGAGAGATAAAATGTCGGTTTAGGTTTTAAAGTAAGTTGTCATGGATATTCTCCATGACATTTTTTCATCCACATGCTATGATTTAGAGATGATAAGGTAACCCGAAGGCGGACTTATTAACTCCTTCAAGGCGAAGGTCACGGTATCAGGACCGCGAGAAGGGAAGGTATGTCTTGTATGTATAGTTTGTATGGATGTATGTACGTACGGGCGCCGTAACTTAGTGGGACCGCTGTTCCGTTTTGCAATTCTAAACATAGTTGAGCATTATTCAGTTGTTTGCTATATACACATAGTATATGCATACATTCATATATACGCACAGATGTACATAAGACATGCACATATATTCACACACATGTATACACATATAAATACACTCATGTATATATATATATATATATATATATATATATATATATATATATATATATATATATATGAACATATGTACTACATAAACATAGTTATCGGGAGAGAGCCAGAATATAAACATTCCTAAGGAACACGCACATATACACATGTACATATATATGAAAGCATATATTAGAGGTGTTCGCGGTCGATGGCAGGAGAAGAGACCGGAAGGAGTAGTCGGATTAATATCTTCAGAGCCAAGGTCGCGTGTCTGGAACCGGAAGTAAGGGAGAAGTGTCTTTCACTTTGTATGCATGCATCTTTAAGTGTAAAAGTGTGCATATGTGCGTATCCGCTATAGCTTACTGTGATCGCGCTGCCACTTTTCAATATCATATTTATTTGTGTAATATGAAGCTCCTCCCTTGAGAAGCACTGTTTCCATACCAGATCAAGGCATCAGGATGAACGTCAAACTGATTTTAACTTGTTTACGTGTCAATGTAAATTGCATACGGGAGGATGAGCTTATTCCATGTCTGTGTCGTTCATTCTGAGAAAGATTCCTCTTCTTTGGTTGGATTTGATATTTTGTCCTGGGTGAGTAAGTGTAGACTTAATGACATTTCTGATGTCTAATGTTAGCAAGGAGAGAAAAATGAGTTTACTAGAATTTCCGTTTAATAAATACGTAGCAAAATATGTTCAATAAAAGCTCATTTAGGCGTAGGCCGGGGTGGTCTCGTATGTAGGGGCAGGTTCGTATGCAGGGGCAGGCTTGTAGGCAGGTGCGGGATGGTAAGGAGCTGGCTTGTAGGCAGGTTCAGGATGGTAAGGAGCTGGCTTGTACTCGGGGTACTGGGCCTCACCCTCGTAGCTGACCTCAGCCACGTAACCGGAGTCGCCGTTGACAGTGTAGGCGACCTTCTGCAGACGACCGTCGGGAAGGAGGACGTAGTAGGATCCCTGGGTGTCATATCCATCACGGGCCTCCTGGTGACCGAAGTCGTTGCCGGA